TTGTGCCTCACATAAGTAGGCACAGTCCTCACCCAGGTGTCCAAGTCTTCCTCCCTCTTCTTGTCTCCAGAGAAAGGCTTGGGACTCATTAGAGGTATCTTGGGCATCCACTGCATCGGCTGCATGGGCCCAGGTGCTTGATGCAGCGGCTGCATAGCCACTGAAACAGGCTGTTGCAAACTAACCTGGGCCTGGCTGGATAGTGGGACTGTAGTGACCACTGTTGTAGATGGTACGGCTGAGACTGAATGAACCGGACCACTAGTTGCACCTAAACCACCCGGGGAGGGCATGCCAAACATGGGAGAGAAAGTTTGCCCTATGTGTTGCGGCATCGATGATGGACCCGCACCTACAGGGGGAACTACAGCAAACTGTGGTGGCCTCGCCGTTGGGTGAATGCCCCTAAGTTCAGCCAGAATTTGTTTATGGCCTGCTACCAAATCAGCCAACATTCCTGTTGAACGCTTTGCGCTTCTGCCACTGAAAATAAGGCGCCTCGCAGCACATGAACAGCAGGGTCTAATGTTGCCTCATCTAGTCTTTCCAGTCTGCCTAACTCCTGCAATCTACTCTCTAGTCTAGCTTTTCTTTGCATAGCTTTCCTTCTCCTCTCTACTACTTCATCCATCTGCCGCTGTAGCTCATCTTGAAGTTCTTCTGCTTGCCGGATTTCCAAGTCCTCCGGCGTGATAGGAGATTGGTTGACTCGCACATGACCAATCTGACAATTGGCCGCCCTCGCACAGTACCACTCTGACTGACTCCTAACAAAGTGGGTTGTGTAGAGGGTTGTGTCATAGATGAGGTAGCCATGGCTGTACTGATGCTAGCTGTAATTCTAGCTCTAGCACTGTCCTCAGCTGCCCTCGCTCTCCTTGCCGCTGCCCTCTCTCTAGTCTCTCTCCTCAATCTTCTCTCGTCTCCTGGACCTAACTCCAAGAATGTCAAGGGTCGACTGCGGGCAGTCCTGCGAGTAGTCCTTCGGTCGTCCACTAGTAACTCCTCCTCACTTGAGCTTGCATCACTCATGAGTTACAGTGTGTGTGATCTAAACTAGAATCCACATTGAATCCTACCTTAGCTTGACACACATCCGCATATGATACACAACTACTTACGGTCGGCTGGGACAAAAATAGTTAGGTGATGTAGTTACAACTAATGTCAGGTCCTAAAGGATATATTACATCTATTTTTAGATTACCCTGGAACAGATTGCAATATAGCAAAGATCTAGTCTATCTGTAGCTGTCTGTTAGTTGTCAGCAAGTCCGTAACAACTAGATAATAAAAACAGAAAATAACATCTCCTGTTGGAGATGTATGCTTGATGGCAGATTGTTTGTTGCTTGCCACTGCGAACAGTTACCGGAATCCCCCCTCCCCCTGTATCCCTCTTGAGCAGTCACTTTGTGTCAACGTCCCTGAGCATCTGGTTGAGCAGCGTGTCTAAAGGTGTGCAATCCGGTCCCACCCCTGTGCCTCAAGTCATCGTCGAGCAAGGCAGCCACAACACTCTTATTTATCCTCGTACGCCGACGAGCCTTACACCCGGTTGATCTGGCTGATCAGGAGGATTATTAAGAACGCCCCCATCTCTTCAGGAAATATTTAACGTCGCAGTCAGGACGACGATCACAGCCAGATTCAATCCGAGTCCCCAACCACAAATGTTTATAGACAGTCTGGTGAGCGTCTCATAGAGGTTGCCATGCCTGAGTTGACCCCTATTTGCGCAAGCAGCAGAACAAGGACTTGCGGCCCAAGCATGTGTGTACTAGTCCCAACGGGTTGGCATGGTGACCGTGACCCGAGTGCTTCGTCCAGGGCCCTTCAGAGGCTTCGCCCGTCTCCCACCAGCTTGCTGCCCAAGAAGAATGTCGACTCTCAAGGTTGAGCGCTCGCGACACCTCACATTGAGAGGACTCTCAAGACAGAACTCACTTCCTCACGGTAAGAAGAGATGAAGAGGGTAGATAAGGAAGAGAGCAACGTACCTCATAAATGCTGCCCCCAACCACAGATTTCTCACCGGTAACCTGATGTGCAATTATGATGACCGGTCTTTGCTTCTGCACAACCAACAACAGAATGCGATTCCACCTCAGCTTAATATTTCACATCAGCAAGTTCGCATCATCCAGCATACATCCCGTATGTCACCACATAGCTCCCTGGCGCGCCCACACAACCCTGGGCCGCCTAATGTTCAACGCCAATGCCGTATCACTGCCCCACACCTCATGCGAAGCACCGATAGCTATTGCGAAGAACCAATGAAGCGCAATATGAACCAGCTCCGATACCAAATTGCAAGGAAAATAAGCAAGAGCAAGATGACAAACCCAGATCACACCATCACGTTGCAAGTCAAATAGTCACACTGTGTCCTGATAGAAGCCTCGCACCAATAATACACCAATGGAGTTTCGTAGCACTGAAAAACCAATGTCCGTGGAGAGCACACTCTCTCCTCTCAACACAAGAGTCCAGTTCCCTTAAACTCACACTTGGCGCTCAGCGCCCAGCCTACTTCTACACAGCTACTACAGACTACAAAAAGACAATGCAACTGTTGACATCAGCAGCAGCCCGAAGTACTTGAAGATGCCGCCCATGCAGACCATCGCCAATACAAGGT